TTGTTTTTTTAAAAGACCCCAAATACTCCCCTATGAATTTCAGAGCCAATACAGAGGACCAGCACAAGATGCCAGCATCACACTGGGAGGTGGGAAAAGGTGACGCCACACACCCTCCGCCAGGTTCTGCCTCACAGCCCCATTGCTTTCTAAATGCCCAGCAACAGTGTAATCACGCATATTCCGTGGAAGAGATAAAGTACACCACCTTGGCACGTGATGTGCCACTGTTCTCAGGTAATGGCCTTTGTGTCGTGGCCTAGCTGGGAAGCCCTGGCAAGGACACGGAACTTCGCTTCATCTAAACCTGGGGAAAAGCAACCACGGGGAAGGAAGAGCTCAACAAGAGGCTGTGCAGACCTCTGAGATGAGATGGAGCTGTGGCGGGACTCCACAGCAGCAGAGGCAGACTGTAACCCACACCCAAGACAGACACAAGAGGTGTTCTGACTTGCTTCTAAAATGAGAGCTATGAACCGCTCACCGACCTCTGATGAGCAAACCAGCCCCAGCCACGGGCTGCTGTCTAAGCCTCACCCAGCTGCAAGGACCCTCATTTAACATGCTCATCTGCTACATGCAAGCCCATGAGACTGAAACATTGTTTAACAGTCTCTTTGATGAGTCTGCGACTCTTAATTTGAGTGTCTGGGTCAAGAGGATTAAAGAACAAAAAAGACAGAGAAGGTGGGACAGCCAATTCACACCTACTCCCCTGAGCAAACATGGTGAGTAGACAGACACAGCTCTTGGCTTTGGGGAAAAATATGCAAAAATTTCGGTACTGCACTCTGAACTAAGCACATCTACTGCTTTGCTGCACTGGTTTTCAGGGCAAGCCTGGTCCAGATTGAAGGCTGACCAGCTGTAAGGCTAATGCAGTCTCCTTTAAACCAACCACCATCTAATGAGCATCCCCCAACGTGGGGGACTGTTTGGACTTAGCACTGAAAAAGCCATGTTTAAAGACCAGGCCCAACATGAACCTCTTTCCCCACACACATGTTGGTCACAACTTTTTCAGCTGGGCCAGTGGACCCATGTCATGCCACTCCAGAACATGTCCCAAGGCCAGTGTTCCCTCAGCACAGGAGAGAAGAGCCCCCAACTTAGGCATGACACACAGCACCCGGGACAGACAAGGGCAGCCACACTGCAGGCACTCAGCCCACTGCCGGTAGCTAGCACACAGGCAACCTGTGTAAACACAGCAAGCACATAAAACCCGTGACAGTCACCCTCCCCCCATCAGAGAACTGTGACAGTAGAGCCAGAGGTGGCTGCTGACCTGGCAGGCTGCAGGAAGGAGATGACACAGTTAGCTCACCTCTGTGGCCAAGCTTCTCATTAAGTCTCTCCGAGAACCACGCCATCAAGCAGGATATGGTTCATAAGCAGTGACAGCATCTCAGGAGCTTAATAGGAAGACTGAGATTCCTCTCAGATGGGTAGTTATTTTAGACAACTGAAGGGGATTTGAGAAAGGTAATTATATCCACCCTGAGAGATGACTTCGTGGGCATACAGTGATCACTGTCACAGCCACCTGCAGCTCCCACGCCACACAGAAAACTCCACTTTCTCTTCACACTCAGGACAAAAAGAAATTAAGAAAAGCAGCCTGCAAATTCATGGTGAATGAGAACATCGAGGAAAAAGGCAGGTCAGATTTCCTTGATCACCAAGGATTGGGGCTGCCTCCCTCAAGGCCCAACTCAGGTCCCACACATCCTAGAAACGAGGACATGGGCCTTTGCCTCATCTAAACCCGGGGAAAAGCGACCATGGGGAAGGAAGAAGGCGCCCAGCGGCTTCTCGCATCAGATTGTCAGGGCGGGCTCGACCTCAGTGGCTCACTGCAGCTCCAGAACTTCCCCAGCCTCCCTCGTGCTGCACTAGAGGTTTACACCGCACCCTGCAGGGCCAGAGCAAGTGTCGCACAGCCCAATGTGGGAGATGATGGCCTGGCTTTACTAAAAAACTGTGTGATCAAAATCACAATTGTAGGAAAGAAGTAACTGAGCACAACTGGGCCCCATCTTCTGGGAGGGGCCCCGCTAACCACAACCTCCCCTGCTTCTCCCCCGCACTCCCCTAAAGAACGGGGTGGATGTGTTCTAATCTCCCGTGAAGATCAGCACACAAAGAAAAGTGAGTCAGCTCCTCTTTGCCTTTTCTCCTTGCTCCTTCATGGTACAGGGTAAGGTAGGACAGAGCATGCCACAGTCACCAGGACCCCACCACACCAGACAGCCACCCTCACGATGTTCATCAGGAGCTTCACAGTGCCTGTGCCACCAGCAGGTTCAGGTGTCCTCAGGACCAACCTTGCTTACCCAGCACTTCAACTAGGGCCAAGGCCAGCTCCTAGGGCCTAGGACTAGCTCTGCCACTCTTGAGGATAGGTTAAAGACACCAAAGGCCACACTGGAGAGGAAAGCCCCATGAAGCTTTTCTGTCACCTTGGTGATAAACTGCCAGGCAGAACCCATTAAGTGCCAATATTGCTGTTTATGAATATAAACTGCTTAGAAGCTACATTTTGCAGAGTGTCTAACAGGCAGTGTGAAGCAGCTGCAGGCATGGACATTAGTTTGGATTGCTGAGTTCATTAGAGTTTCTGGCCCCTTCCCATAGCTTCCAAATGCCTAGCTCCTGCATAGAGCAAGTCTCAGCAGTTTCTACAGAGCATGGCTCCCGGGATCAAGAGGACACTGTCCCTGGCTGCCAGGACAAGGAGCTTGATGCCAGAGAGAGAGAGACAAGAGATGCAGCTGGGGGGAGCCTGCCAGCAGAAACTAACCAGACTGCTCGTCCCCGTGGACCAGCCTCTGCAGACCAGAAGGTCGCAATCCACCAAGCAGTGCGGAACCCAGCCTTTGGGGTAACAAGATGCGAACTCAGTCTCCAGCCCACCATGAGCCAGTGCAGCCAGCCAACCTCCCTCTGCCCATCTGAAGATGGAGACGCTCTGGCCAACCTCCTGCAGTCGGGAAGGTCACAAAAGGAATGTGTATCATGGACCTGGCCGACTGAAAGACTTAATGTCATTGTCACAATACCTGAGGACACTGGGCCTGGAGAACTAAGCTTATTTAGGTCTTGCTCTCAGCAGCACACACTTTCCAGTCAAATCTTGTCACTTCAGTTTTGCTTTTGTTTTCTGAAGACGAGAAAATCTGGATTCTTACTTAATCTGATCAGTGACTTCCATGGTAATTCCCCATTGGGTTCAAATTAGGTCATTTTCACGTGAAGGCCTGGTCTGGCAGCTTTAAGTACTATGTGGATAAGCAGAAACAAAGCTCCACCTGGGCTTCGTCAGATCTGTCCACAAGAAGCCACACTGTGATGTCGTGACCTGTTAACCTGACTGAGTCTGCCTGATTCGGAGTTTGGGTGAATACAAGTTGCTGCCCTCCCAAGCTGACCAGAAAGCGGCATGGAAACTCCTGCTGCCATGCTCTGCCACCACCCAGGCAGACTCTAACGAGATCATCTGACATCGGCGGCCTGTGCTGCCCGACAGATACAGGATTTGTATGTGACATCGGCGGCCTGTGCTGCCCGACAGATATGGGATTTGTATGCGAATGGGCCACTCACCCCTCACCTTCTAGTGCTCTTCCCTTGACTTGGGCCAGAAGAGGACTACCAGGCGCTGGGGGTGCTGGGGACCAAGACCTGGGTTTTCTTCGGTGGCCCACAGGCAAGTCCAGGAGCCTGGGCCTGTTTGGCCTCTCCTTAGTAACCTGGGAGAGGTCAACCCTGTGCCCCCTCAAGAGCCCCTTTCCAGTTCCAAGCTACTGCTGCTTTCATTTAAAACACAGCAAAACACATAAAGGCGGCTGGGCGCGGTGGCTCACACCTGTATTCCCAGCACTTTGGAGGCCAAGGTGGGTGGATCACCTGAGGTCAGGTATTCAAGACCAGCATGGCCAACATGACGAAACGCTGTCTTTACTAAAAATACAAAAATTTTTCAGCATGGTGGCAGGTGCCTGTAATCCCAGGTACTCAGGAGGCTGAGGCAGGACAATAGCTTGAACCTGGGAGGTGCAGCGTGCAGTAAGGTGAGATTGTGCCACTGCACTCCAGCCTGGGCACAGAGTAAGACTCCATCTCCAAAATAATAATAATAATAATAGTAGTAGTAATAACAAAACATGAAAAAAAGGCCAGGTGCAGTGGCTCCCACCTGTAATCCCAGCGCTTTGAGAAGCTGAGGCAGGCGGATCACCTGAGGTGAGGAGTTCCAAGACCAGCCTGGCCAACATGGCAAAACCACATCTCAACTGAAAATACAAAAATTAGCCAGGCATGGTGGCGCTCGCCTGTAATCCCAGCTACTTGGGAGGCTGAGGCTGCAGTAAGCCAAGATCGTGCCATTGCACTCCAGCCTGGGCGACAAGAGCAAAACTCTGTCCCCCCCTCCCCCACCCCAAAAGACAAAAATACAAAAAAAAAAAAGGAGAAAAAGAAAAGAAGAGATTGGGAACTTTTTCTTCAGTAGAAGAGTCTGTCATTTGCTAGTGGGCAGCAGCTTGACTGGAGACATTTTATCTAGAGTTGGTAATGAAACTCACTTGCAAAACCCAAGTTTTCCAGGGTGAAGAGCGAGTGTATGTAGCTCTCATCCTTCCCTTGGCTGTAAGGAGCCATCTTCTTAGGGAGTTGCGACTTGGGGAAATAAAAATGGGTCACTATAAATTATGCCAATTAAACTGACAAACTAAAAGGCCTACCTGGGTCTGGAGAACTTTTGATAGGAATTGTTTTTGTAAGGGACACAGTTTTAAAATTCTGTCTTTAAGCACAAAATTAGCACCTTAGGAAAAACTGCTTCTTCAAGTTGATATACTTTTTCTCCCCAAAGTTAAAATATCAGCTCACAGGAAAGTGGTGCAATGAGAGCCGATGGTGAGGTCACACTAGAAAGAGATCACCCCCGGGGTGATGGAAAACCTCGATAGCTAATCAGAAACGGTCACTTACTTTTTTTTTTTTTTTTTAAATCACACATACACAAGCCTTCCAATAAGTCTAGGCCTCAGAGTTTGATGACTCACTATCACCTCCAGAAAAATTAAAAAATTTAACCATCACTACTTAAAACTCTGGCAAAGCCACACAAACACATTTAGTAAACTGAGGAAAGAACGGCGAGTGGGCCACCCAAGGCTCTCCCTGCGAGGATAAGGCTGTTAATTTGTCGACAAAACGGGATTCTTTTACAAGTAAAAGGCAGAAATCTGCGTAACCACCACCACCACCTTTTTTTTTTTTTTTTTTTTTTTTTTTTTTTTTTTTGCCAAACTTAATGAAAAAAGAGGGTGGGGAGCTGTGTCCCTTCACTTTCCAGGTTCGGATCCTGTCCACCCAGTTTCTGAATGCTTTCAACAGTTACCCAACCGCCTGTTTCAAGGGCTTCCCTGTTGCTTAGAATGCCACCTGGACACTTCTGGAAGGAAACTATCAAAGATAGTCTTCCCCTCCTCCCAGGCTGTGTATAGATCCCCACTCAATCCAGCCCAGGGCAGAGTCCAAACGGGAGGGAGAGATGCAAGCAGGGTCAAAGGGACCCCAAGAGTCCAGCACATCTGGGAAAGAGAAAAGGAAAAGCTGCTGTGGCTTCCTGTAGCTGGGGAGCACGCCAGCGCGCCCCCTTTCCTTCGGGAGGACCCCCGGCCCCCGTTCGCCCCCGAGCTCCCTCCCCGCCTCCCCGAGCCCGGTGAAAGGAAAAACGTGCGGGGACCCCCCACCCCACCAGCAGCTGCAAACGCCGAGGCGCTCCCCGCGAGTCTCAGAGCCGCCCCAACCTCAGGACTCCCGCCGCGGGCCCTGCAGGAAACCCCCCACAGCCTGCGGCTTGGAACCCCGGGCAGGCCGGAGGGTGCGGGCGGCGGGCCAGGCAGGGCGCCGAGGCCCGGGCTCCGGGAGCGGCCTGGCGGACAGGGAAGACCGGACCCGCAGGTCGGACTTGGGGGTGTCTAGGCCGGGACGGAGGCCCGGGTGTGGGGGGTCCCTCTGCGGGAACGGGAGTCGGGGGCGGCCCGGGCCTGGCGTCCCGCGCAGGGAGGCCGACACCGGAGCGACCCGGGCGGCCTGGGTCGGGGTCGGGGCCGGGGTAGGGGCCCGCAGGCCGCACCTGGTCGGCGAAGTCCTCGGCCGTGCCCATCAGGTCGTTCTGGCCCATGGCGACGGCGGGAGGCTCGGCTCGGCTGGCTCGCTCGCTGGCCCTCGCCCGTCGGCGCCCGCGCCCGCGCCCGCTGCGGCCTCCACAGGAAGTGCCCGGCGGCCGGCCTCGCTCCGCGTCGGCGGCGGCTCCAGCGGCTGCCACGTAGGCCAAGGCTTAAAGGGGCCGCGCGCCACCCGGGCCCGCCCCGGCGCGTCTTAAAGGGGCCGCGCGCCGTCCGCAGCCGTCCGCAGCCTCCCGACCCGTCCGCTCGAAGCCACGCCCGGCGCGCTCGACGCCACGCCTTTCACGCTGGAGGCCCCGCCCACCGCGCGCCGGCCCTGCGACCCCTCCGGTGCCGGCGGAGCGCGTCCCCTTTAAGGGGATAGAAGCCTGCGGTTCTGGGGCGAGCGCGGGAGGGACGCTTGGGTGCCCCGAGGGCGCCGTTCGGGCGGGGAGGGTCCGGCAGGTGCCACTGACCCATGCGGGGTGGGTTGGGGGCGGACGCTCGCCCGGACGCGGTGGCTACTGAACATGCTTGGGGCGGGGTCGGATCGCTGGCTCCCCGCGCGGGGGAATCGAAGCCCGAGGGCCCCCAGAGAGCCCATGGAGAAGTACCAGGTGCCGAGTGTCCCCTGCAGGGAGGCGGGGTCGGGTCTCCGTGGGGTAACGGTCGCAGCCCTAGAGCGGCGGCCGACGGGTCCGACCGAGGGCGGGAGGGATCCGCGCCCTGGCCAGTGCCGGCCTCCAGCTCCTGGGTCGAACCCGGGGACTTCCAACGGTGACTTCCTGGGTGCCCTTTGCCACTCAGCTTCCCCCTTTGTGAATTAACTAAGGATTCTCCAGCCCTGGCTGAGTATTTGAGGGTGTGGGGCAGCTCCTCTATCCTTCGTGCCTGGGGTCCGTGCACTTGGGTCCACCGAGGCAGGACCCCCGGGAACTCCCCGAGTACGTAATTGGGAGCCCCCAGTCCCTAAAAACACCCCTGCAGCCTGGGTCTGTGAAATGAGACCTGAAATAGTCACAAAACACAAAAAGCTGCAAAATAAAAGTGAATGTTTAATTAAATGCTTCTACACGTGATATGTAAACTTTATTAAATGTTAGATTCAGCATTTGTAAAAATTACATTCGCTTGGAAACAGTTTGTGGGTTAGATTTTTCTCACTTTGGAAGAATTCTCTTTGTGTGAGAGGACTTACAGGGCGTTGCCAGCGGTGAAGCAGATGAGTTTTTGGTGGCCGGATAATTTTTAAAGTAAAGTTACTTTTCAGGAGAAAAAGTAAATAGAACTTTCAGGAAGATACCTGCTTTTGGAAACAAAAAATAGACTTGATTCGAAATACAGGTCCATTTTACTGCTTAATTTGCTGCCTAAGCCTGAACGCCCTCACATCAGCTCTGCCCTCAGGCCCCTGCGGCTTAGACCAGCAGTCCCCAGTGTTTTTGGCACCAGGGACCAGTTTTGTGGAAGACAGTTTTTCCACAGACCGAGGTGGGAGGATGGTTTCAGGATGATTCAAGCACATTATATTTGTGTGCACTTTATTATTATATTGTAATACATAATGAAAAAAAAATTTTTTTTGAGATGAGTCTCGCTCTGTCGCCCAGGCTGGAGTGAAATGGGACACTCTCGGCTCACCACAACCTCCACCTCCCGGGTTCAAGTGATTATCTTGCCTCAGCCTCCAGAGTAGCTGGGATTACAGGCACACCCCACCATGCCCAGCTAATTTTTGTATTTTTAGTAGGGACAGGTTTTCACGATGTTGGTCAGGCTGGTCTTGAACTCCTGACCTCATGATCCACCCACCTTGGCCTCCCAAAGTGCTGGGATTATAGACGTGAGCTACCATGCCTGGCCATAATGAAATAATTACAACTTACTATAATGTAGAATCAATGGGAGCCCTGAGCTTGTTTTCCTGCAACTAGATGGTCCTGTCTGGGGGTGATGGGAGACAGTGACAGATCATCAGGCATTAGATTCTCATGAGGAGCAGGCAACCTGGATCCCTCGCATGTGTGGTTCACAATAGGGTTGATACTCCTATGAGAATCTAATGCTGCTGCTGATCTGACAGGAGGCTGAGCTTGGGTGGTAATGCCAGCCATGGGGAGCGACTATAAATACACAGGAATTTTTGCTCCCTTGCCTGCTGCTCACCTCTGATGTGCTGCCTAGTTCCTAACAGGCCACAGACTAGGGGACCCCTGGCTTAGAATATCCAGCGTCAGGAGCAGGCTGCTCACAAGGCTGGATTACAGACTCCTAAGACTTTTATCAGCTCAGATTCCCTAGGCTCAGGGTTCCATCCTCATATCTCCTCCTCTGGGTCCTATCCTCCCACCCCAATCCTCTGATGAATGTCAGCCTCCAGCAATCCCCAGCCCAGTCCCCCACCTCATAGCCCTTGGTCTCTGCACAGAGTTCTGGCCTGGTAGCCATCTCTCTGCAGATTTGGCTCAAATCACTTTGGCTCAAATCACAGTCTCTAAGGTCAGACCCCAGAGTTACCCCAGGCAGTCCTGCTTTTTAGTGACATAGCCTCAGGCAAGGACCTACGCCTTGTGCCTCAGTTTCCCCAAATGTAAACGTAGAATTAGCAATGGTATCAACTGCATAGGGTGACTGTGACGTGGTTGGCACCATGCCAGACACACAACAGCTTCCTGATTGTACCAATCGCAAGACTGGTTACTTTCTCGTTTGAAGCCAGTTTGGAGGTGGATTGGAGGTGGATACTGGAAGTTGAGGTCACAGGGGTCTACAGAGCGTGAATAAGCCCTTTTTCCCTGGGAGGTGCTTGCTCTTGAGTGCCCATCTGGTCCTCACTGCAGGTTGGGGAAGGGATATAGGGTTCTAGAAAAGCTTCCAAATGGGTCTCAAAGAGATGAAATTGGAGTTCTGCCATGGAAAGGCTTCTTGCCCTCCTTGGGCCATTTCCGCTATTGCAAGATAGGGTGGAGCCACATGCTCTGCCAGCCTGATGGGGGAGTTAGCGGGGCCAGAAAAGAAGTTGGAGCTGGGCTTTTGGAAAACGAAAAGCTGTGTGCATTTCCTGAAAGCTTCTCTCTCCCTTGCTGGTAGGTTTTGTATGAACTGAATCCTGGGGCCTTGGGGGTGAACCTGGTGGTAGAGGAAGTGGAAACCGAAGTCAAGCGCGTGATAAAGCAGGTAAGAGGCCAACCTGCCCATCCCAGGCCATGTGGTTCTGTGGCTGTGATTCTCCCCAATATAAGCTCTTCCTGTGGTAGAGAAGCTTCCTGATGTGGCAGCTGGATTCCTCGCTGCCAGCACTCTCGGAGACAAATCTGGTTGTGGTAGACGTGGGGGTGCATGGAGCTCTCTCACCTTGATGGGGAAGCGATGCTAAATCTCTGTTCTGACACCACCACCGCCTCCATTTACACATCGCATGCTGCATGCCAGGCATCGACTTGCTTCATCTCCTGTCAACCCTGCAAAGCAGGAACAATGGCCCTGTTCACAGCCAAAGACAGTGAGGCTCAAGGCGGCACCAGACTAGCCAAGGTCACAGTTTCCCAGAGGATTGGAATTCAGGCCACCTCACTGGGGGACACCATGCTACCCGGTGCTGGGTCACCCGTTTTACCAAAAGGGAGCCAGGCCCAGGGAGGATAGGGATTGGCTCAAGGTCGCACAGGGCCAAGGTCACACACCAGGCCCTGAGCCCTTCCTCTGCACTCCTCTGCATGGGAGGTGTAGGCATGCAGGAGGACATCCCCTTTTGTGTCCAAGACAGGGAGGTCCAGATCAACAGAGGAGCCATGGTGAGAGAGCTGCTGTAAGAGTCGCTGGCACGCCCTCCTCTCTGTGGTGGCGACAGGGACCCAGCGGGTTCAGGGCTCGCCACGCAGCGAGAGGAGCCTTGTCAGCAGCTGTCACTCAGCCAGACCTCAGTCAGTGCAGCTCCACAGCCTCACCCTGAGTGGCTGGGCCTGGAGTCCTTGCCCCTGCCCCACTCCCTTGGTAGCTGGCTATGGGGTTGGCCCCCTTGTCTCATAAGCCGTTGGGGCAGGGTGGCTGGCTGCCCTCTGAGCAATTAAGGAGCTTTTTGGTGTTTTTGTTGTTATTGTTGGTTTTTTCTTGGAGACAGTCTCGCTCTGTCACCCAGGCTGGAGTACAGTGGCATAATCTCTGCTTACTGCAACCTCCGCCTCCCAGGTTCAATCAATTCTCCTGCCTCAGCCTCCCAGATAGCTGGGACTATAGGCGCATGCCGCCTATACCAGGCTAATTTTTTGTATTTTAGTAGAGACAGGGTTTCACCATGTTGCCTAGGCTGGTCTCGAACTCCTGAGCTCAGGCAGTCTGCCCACCTCGGCCTCCCAAATTGCTAGGATTACAGGCATGAGCCACCCCACGTGGCCTGAGGAGCTTTTAAAAAAGCCGTGACCAGTCACGGTGGCTCAGGCCAGCACTTTGGGAGGCCTACTAGCATTTTGTTAGGTGGATCCCTTGAGGTCAGAAGTTCGAGAGCAGCCTGGCCAACACAGTGAAACTCTATCCGTACTAAAAATACAAAATTTAGCTGGGTGTGGCAGCTCACACCTGTAGTCCCAGCTATTTGGGAAGCTGACATGGGAGAATCACTTGATCCCAGGAGGTGGAGATTGCAGTGAGTCAAGATTGTGCCACTGTACTCCAGCCTGGGTGACAGAGTGAGACTTCGTCTAAATAAATTAATTAATTAGTTAAATTAAAAATAAAAATGTCAGCCAATTATTTCTAAATAAAAATTAGGGAAGGAATGCTTAGATAGGAGTTTATGGATCCTTCCAGTCTTTTTTTCCAAGCATTTGTAAACTTTTTTGTTTTTAGGAGAATGGAATTGTTTTTTTTTGAGACGGAGTTTCACTCTTGTTACCCAGGCTGGAGTGCAATGGCGCGATCTCGGCTCACCGCAACCTCCGCCTCCTGGGTTCAGGCAATTCTCCTGCCTCAGCCTCCTGAGTAGCTGGGATTACAGGCACGCGCCACCATGCCCAGCTAATTTTCTGTATTTTTAGTAGAGACAGGGTTTCACCATGTTGACCAGGATGGTCTCGATCTCTTGACCTTGTGATCCACCTGCCTCGGCCTCCCAAAGTGCTGGGATTACAGGTGTGAGCCACCGCGCCCGGCTAAGAATGAAATTGTTAAAGTTGATAGCCTGGCTGAATGTGGTGGCTCATGCCTATAATCCCAGCACTTTGGGAGGCCAAGGCGGGCAGATCACCTGAGGTTGGGAGTTCGAGACTAGCGTAACCAATATGGAGAAACCCCATCTCTAAAATACAAAAATCCCAGCTACTTGGGAGGCTGAGGCAGGAGAATCTCTTGAACCTAGGAAGCAGAGATTACAGTGAGCTGAGATTGCACCATTGCACTCCAGCCTGGGCAACAGAAGTGAAACTCCGTCTCAAAAAATAACAATAAAGCTGATAGCATAGTTTTTATATTGCAAACATGGTTTCATGTCACTCCCACAGCCTCCTCCTCTTCTGGCCCTGGCAGCTGTGTGGCCCCCCCATCTTGCCTGATGTGCTGTAACTGACCCAAGCCATCTCTATCACACGGGCTGAGCATTGAGCTTGTTCTCAGTGTTTCACCTTGTGTAAGCAACTCTGATTAAGATGCTTATAGTATTATGGGTTTTTTTTTTTGAGCATCCATGATTTCCTTAGGAAACATTTCTAGGGGTGGGATTTCTGGGTCATACAATGTAACATTATTAAGCCTTTCCATATGTTTTGACCAACTTCACCTCCTCCTATACCCCCTGGGACAGGAGGAAAGGAAGACAGGAAGTCTCACTCAGTGTCTTTGCCCTGGATTCCATGGGACAGTGCCACTGGCATTTCAGGTCTCTCCATGGACCTGGGAACAATTCACTAACTTTCCATGATGGTCTGCAATCACTCCATTATAAGAGTTATTCATGGCCGGGCATGGTGGCTCATGCCTGTAATCCCAGCACTTTGGGAGGCCGAGGTGGGCAGATCACGAGGTCAAGAGACCGAGACCATCCTGGCCAACATGGTGAAACCCTGTCTCTACTAAAAAATGCAAAAATTAGCTGGGCATGGTGGCGCCCACCTGTAGTCCCAGCCACTAGGGAGGCTGAGGCAGGAGAATTGCCTGAACCCAGGAGGTGTAGATTGCAGCGAGCCGAGATCACGCCACTGCACTCCAGCCTGGCACCTGACGACAGAGCAAGACTCTGTTTCAGGAAAAAAAAAAAAAAAAAAAAAAGAGTTCTTCATTTGTAAGTCTTTTGAGCAAAATTTTGGGTAAGGATCTGGCATTAGAGCCGGTGGTAGTACACACCTGGGGCGTGTACCACCAAGTGTGCTGCAGATTGAAAGCTCTGTGCTGCCCTTGCCACCACCCTTCCGTTTCCATGCCCTCCCCCCTCCACCCGGAGAGGGCACAGGAAAGAGAGAAGAGCACTACATATTCCGTGCATGGAGACAACCTTCCCAGTGTGGGTAAGGAACGAAGTGGTGAGAGTGATGTTTTCCCAATCAGAACAAGATGTTCCTGTTTTAAAGATGGTCTGAAAATGGATCCTTTGCTGATTTCTTGGAGTTTATATTATGCTGTCCTAAACTTACCCTTGCAACAGGAGCATTGCTTTAAGTATTTTTAGAGCTCTGCCTTAGGATCTTCCGTTTGTGCCATATGGTGGGGGCATGAATGGTGGGAGCCTGTTACTCCTGTTAAATAACAATGGTGGTGATGATGGAGGTGGCAATGATAGTGGCAGTGATGGTGACAGTGATAATGGTGATGATGGTGATGGTGGTCGTGGTGATGGTGTGACAATGGTTAGGATAGTGGTGGTAATGGTGATGGTGGTGGTGTGATGATGATGGAGGTAATGATGGTGATAATGGTGGTAATGGTGATGATGATAGTGGTGATGGTGACAGCAGTGTTGATGGTGTGATGGTGGTAATGATAGTTGTGGTGGTGGTGATGGTGTGATGATGGGGAAGGTGGTGATGACGAATGATTGTGATGATAGTGGTGATGGAGATTTTGGTGATGAAGGTGGTGATGGTGAATTTGGTGATGATGGTGTGATGGTGATGGTGGTGATGGTGATGGTGGTGATGATGGTCATGATGGTGATCATAGTGGTGATGGTGATGGTGGTGGTGATAGAGTGATGGTGGTAATGGTGGTGGTGGTGTGATGATGGTGATGATGGTGGTGATGGGGACAGCCATGGTGGTGATGATGATGGTGGTTGTGATTGTGGAAATGATGGTGATGATGGTAATGATGGTGATGATGGTGGTGATGGTGGCAGTTGTGGTGATGATGGTGGTGGTTGTGATTGTGATAATGGTAACGGTGGTGGTGGTGATGGTGGTTGTGGTTGTGGTAATGATGGTAATGGTGGTGATGGTGGTTGTCGTGATGATGGTAATGGTCATGGTGGTGATGGTGGTGGTTGTGGTTGTGGTAATAATGGTAATGGTGGTGGTGGTGGTTGTGTTTATGGTAATGATGGTGATGGTTGTGGTGGTGTTGGTAATGGTGATGGTGGTTGTGGTGATGATGGTGATGGTGGTGGTGGTGATGGTGGTGGTCATGATGGTGATGTTCATGGTGGTGATGGTGGTGATGGTGGTGGTGTTGTGGGTTGTGGTGATGATGATGATGGTTGTGGTGGTGGTGGTGATGGTGATGGTCATGGTGGTGATGGTTGTGGTTCTGATAATGATGGTATTGGTGGTGGTGGTTGTGGTTGTAATGATGGTGATGGTTGTGGTGATGTTGGTGATGGTGGTGGTGGTTGTGGGTTGTGGTGATGATGATGATGGTTGTGGTGGTGATGATGATGATGGTCATGGTGGTGGTGGTGGTGGTTATGGCGATGCGATGATGGTAATGGTAATGGTGGTGGTGATGGTGGTGGTGTGGTTGTGGTTGTGGTAATGATGGCAATGGTTGTGGTGGTGTTTATGGTGGTGGTGGTTGTGCTTGTAGTAATGATGGTAATGGTAGTGGTGATGGTGGTGGTGGTGGTGATGATGGTAATGGTTGTGGTGGAGGTGGTGGTCTTGGTGGTGACTTTGGTAATGGTCATGGTGGTGGTGGTGATGGTGGCGATAATGGGGATGATTTGCTACACATTTATTAAGCTCATGCTTTTGTGCCCTTTCAGGTGGAATGCCTGGATGATCACGATGCCAATAAGGCCCTGCAGGAGGTAATTCTCAGGGTGGTTTTCCTCTGGAGGAGCTCAATGGAGCACACACAGACTGTGTGCTGTACCCTCTTATTGAGTGCCTGGGTGAAGGGAAGCCTGGAGGGAGGTAGAGCGTCAGCACCAGTTTTGCCTCAGCTGTGAAGCCAGCAGTCCCAGGTCATGTAGGGAGTCTGTGCCCCAAACACTCACTGCTAAATGCAGGTGCTGACAACTTAGAGCATCTGTTCCCAGAGAACATAAAGTTTACAATTGGGCCAGGTGTGGTGGCTCACGCTTGTAATCCTAGTACTTTGGGAGGCTGAAGTAGGTGCACTTCAGCCTGGGCAACAAGAGCGAAACTCTGTCTCAAAAATAAATAAATAAATAAATAAAATATGAATAAATAAATATTGGCTATGTCCCTAGGTTAGTCTGCCAATAACTTTTTTTTTTTTTTTTT